TCCCTACAATACTGTATCTTATCAGAAAGCGATTCAGGTTTTCAAACAACTTTTATTAAATTATGACATTCCAACTTTTCATATGTTTATTAAAATATATTAAATTATTTTGTAGATTTAAAAAAGGTAAGCTTGACAAAAAGTTACTCATTTGTGTTCAAGGTAACTTTTGGACCTCCTCCCTTTTTGTAAACATCCACCTCACCATTAAACGATGGGCTGCAAAAGGTCAGAGGGGAGTAATTTGTTAGTACAACTGTTTCTCAAGCTGCATATCTTTAGGGACAGAAGAACTGTTGTTCTGTATATTCGTTCACAAAAAAAACTTATGCTAGAGAAATAAACCATTAGGTAAGCACATACACATTTCCGCAAGAAATAGTACTACTGCAGCATGAAGCTGTAGAATCACTCAGCCACCAGGAAAGACAACAACAACAATCCCATCATTTGGTAATAAGGCCTATACAAAGCACTGGCTACTCTACACTGCACTATACACATAGGAAGCAATAGGACAGAACTACAATCCTTCCACTAAGAATATGAATTTACTGAGAAAAATACTTTTTTTAGTTAGGAAAAATTTGAAACGAGATCATGAGAATGCTGAGTATCTAGCTTAGGACCCACAAAGAATCAGTAAAAATCAGGAAGATTTACAGGTTTGCATGTCCATACGCACCGCACTGTGAGAGTATCTGAAGTTAACACACTCTAAGTGCCCAGTTTACTGACTGGAACTTTACATTAATCTGGGTAAACATTGAAATTGAACCAGGAGATAAGACGGCCCCAAAGAAACTGTTCGCGTTTGCGTTCTCCTTTCAGAGCAACAAACCCGATGAAATGGGTGTAAGGCAACTTGAAATTCGCATTGCCTGTTGAAAGATAACATCCTGCATACTAATGTCTTTGAAACTGCGATACCAAAGCTACTATAACAAAAGTACCTATATCTTGAAATCAAAGTCTCTGAATTGCAGTCTTCAATTCCCAGAGACACGGGCAATTTGCCCTCATCTGACATGAACATGCTCTCACAGTCTATACATATATCATTAGAGACAGCAGCTTAATCGGTAATTGGTAATAAGTCTTGACCATGAAATTATCTCAACTGCTATTTCGCAGTGTCAGGTAATAATCTAGTTGAATGCAACCTTTTTTTTTTTTTTTTAAATGAGAGAACTGTAACACTAACTTTTAACATAATTGAGAACTGGTATTTTTGGCACTAAGACAAAATTGTGATCACAATAAAAACAAAAAGTGAGGATTTAATATATCTGCTACAATATTATATTGCTTAACTCCTGAATGGATTTATCTGCATGCACCTGTCCTTACAGGGAAATAGCAGTAATTAATCAAAAGATGTTACAAACTTTTACAACATATCAACCAGTGCATTATTGTTTCCCTGACAAACCTATCAACACTAGTTATGTCTCCAAGAACACCTCTTACAGATACGAGTTTACTGCCATTGTGAGGAGAAAAAACCCTCAACCTTAAAATCACTTTGTTTTGTAAAATGAAAGTAGTGCTGGTATCGTATGCCACACTAAGAGCTTTAGAAATGGATGTATAATCTAAAAGGATAACACAGGTAGCATAAGACTCCCCAAACCTCTGCAAATAATTGATACTATGGCTAGAGTATCTATGTAACTCCCAAGCTGTACCAAGTATGACCAGAGTTCCTGCTAGCGACAACTGATATTCACCCAGGAAGACCTGCAATGAGCTCGTTTTCTGCTGGTAGCTGAAATATTCTTGATTTACTTAAGCAGAATCTAAAATCACAACTTCAACTGAGAAAGGTCCAATATCTTACTAGTCATTCAAACAGTTCAGCTTCTATTGTGGCTTAAGCTTAAACCCTTTGGCCAACAGATTGGAGTTTACAGAAATGCAGTTCTGCATTCTGAAAAACAGACTGAACACCACCAAAGCTCAAGCTCACGCTGGTAAAGTAAATGAGTACTGCTTGTATTAGGTATGTGAACAAAAATAAGAATCTCCACACTTGTGAAACAGTACATTTTGTAATTGTTAATATCCAAACAAATTAAGGTTTCTGTGACAACGAAGAAATGCATTTGACCACTTACAGCAAAACAGATTTATACAATAACAAGTAACTTATGGCCTTGCCTACCTGCAAATGAATTCCTTCAGCAGGTACACACAATATATTGCTCAGTCATAAAAATATATATTATCTCTTTCCTTTAACATTTAGGTATATAAATATTTTACTGAAGAACATGCATCATTTAGATAAACAACTGCAAGAACATCCTCTGAAACATAGGGTTCTGACATTTAGCAGTATAAAATGATTACATAAACATAGCTATTAAAGTCAAGACAAACCAATACAGCAGTATTGCTGCAGTAAGCAGTCCATTGTGTGCTAGTCCAAAGAAATTAAGCACCTTTTGCAACAGGTTATATAATATATACACACAGAGAGAATGCATTATAAATGGAGTAAAAATAGCACAATTCCATCTGCATGTTCTTCAATCTTGTTTGGACTCCAAACTTACTGTTCACTTCTCTGCTCTTGTTTTCCATTCAGCTCTTGGTCAACTCTGCTTATCAAAGAAAGGAGTAAAATTAAAACTTTGTTAAGTAGTTGTTTAGTTTGATAGCATATATTAAAAAAAACCTATTAATCTTAACAGAAAAACACAGAGCTTTTACGTGGAAAAAGTTTTATTAAATAAATATTAAGAGTTTTATTGAATGCTGTCAAAACACTTTAAAAAAAGTATTTTCCTACCTCCCCATAGAAATTAAAATTGTTAAGAAACCATTTAAATAACTACAGCATTCAAGAGGAAGCATTCAAAAAGTGCAAGTGAAGTTTGACTACAGAAGAAAAAAGCAGGTTCTGTGCTTTTGTTAAAGTATGCAAGCAAAAATAAAAGCTTACAGGTAACATGACAATACCCTCAAGCACTACTACTTTGATGAATTCATACACTGCAGAATAAGCACAGAATTACCTTTAACGGTATAGCAATTAAGACAAGAAGGTAACAGCACCAGTTGAATCCACAAAAATAAGTGGCTCCTTCACTGCAATACTTTTTCTATTAAGTTCCAAGACTCTTGTAATTACCCAGGAAAATTCACTACTGTGTTGCTAAAACTAGGGAGTTTTTTGTTTGTGGCTCCCCCCCCCCATCTGCCTTGGGACTAGCAAACCACATGTTGCTTTGCAGTAACTACTGGACAGTTCACAGTCCTGCAAAAGATGTACTCTTCCTCTTTAAATTAAGAGCAAGCTACAGTCTTAACTATATCCTCTGAAAAATAAGTTGTGCATGGAGGTAAATTAATTTTAAAACCAACAGCAATTCCAAAGTGAGAGAGGACAAGGCCAAGCTTGTCTTCTAACAACCTAATTGTCTAACCAACTCGTTCAGTGTCTCAAACTATAACCAGCCAGTTTTTCCAAAATGGTAAGAATAGTGACAGCTCTTCACACCCCCCCACCCAAACCCACTGTAAGAACTCAGCCGAGTACTTAAGGATCCAATAGGTCTGGAGCAGTGTTGTCTAGAAGCGACAACCCTAGATGAAAACCTGTTCACCTGCACAGTATGCAGCTGCAACTCACTGTCCTCACTACACTACCTCAGGAAAGCATGCTCTAGCATGACTTACAGGGCTCGTCACAGAAAGTGCAAGAAAATATGGTAAGCTAATGCAAACAAGCTATGCATAAACATACAGCTGACAATACAAATCCATAGAAGTATATCATATTCTAGCTTCCAAAGTGACTCACGCACACAGCCAAGCAATTCCTACTGCCATCCTCAACAAATTTAGTAACTAAACTTCGACATCTCCTTTCTCCCTATTGTAATAAATAATGCCTACAATTGCTTTCAACCTGATTAAAGTCTCAGTATCCAATAGTGCCTGTGATCTCTCCTCTACACACAAGTTTCACTTAGGAACATACTACCTTTAACAAAAGTGATGGCAGTGCAAGCAATATCAACAGGGACACTAAGAAGGGCTTGTCGTACTGGAGACTTTTAGAAGTTTTTCCATTACTTTTTGAATATCTCAGGTTTGCATCTGGAATACAACGGGCCTTGCAATAGCATTCAGCCAAATTATGCACGATGTGGGAATGGAATTAAGCAGACCTGTTGTTCAATATCTACTAAAGGACTTGTTAAATTTGGCAGGCTTAGCACTTCAGGTTACATGCTACAAGACTGTCACTTAATTGGAATAATTCCTCAAGCATGTTCGACACTTGTCACTAGCTTTACCTGCTAGCTTGCAGGAGGAATTTAATTTCCTTTTAATTTCATCTCTCCATGTTCTTCTCTACATCAATTACCTAATTTAGACAATAAGCCTCCCTCAACAGTTACGCACACAGAGTAATTTAAAAATAGCAAAGTTAGTAGCAAAACCTTTCAGAACATCCGTTAGTGATAGAGTAAAAAAAAATTAAATATCCACTCAAAAGTTTCATCAGCTGCTGGAATAGCTTGAATAGTTAGCAGGAGAGTGAAAATTCAAAAAATCATAATCCAATGTTTATTAGCAAGGAACACAGGCATTGCAAATAGAAACAGCACTAAAAATACTAATTTAAATTTTATCTGTGCAAGTTAATAACTAAAAAGGTAGTGAATACCAAACATAAAAAATACAGGATGCAATACTCGAAATTCTTCCACGGTTGCTTCTCTGCTGATGCATAGCTACAGCTTAATACCTAAAAAAAAAAATCTTCCTTCAGATGTCACTTCTTGTTAGAAACAGTGAAACTTGATTTAATGAATTCACACAGAAGCACTACTTCTGCCTCTTCAAGATTCAGTTGAGAATCCATGTATCCCCTTAGAAGTGAGCATCTCAGGTAGTAAAAAAGGCTATTCACAAATGTCTGTTTGAACATCCAGTGTGAGTTATTTTAGATGATATACTGTACTTGCAGGCAGTATAGTTACTTTTATGCATAAAAAACTTAGTCACTAGTGCATGTTTGTATTTACAAATGCTTATTCCTTTATGCAAGCCAATAAACTGGGAGTTAGTTGCAGTGCAAATCATCTTATCCAGATGCAACCCTAATCAAAATATGAATATACCTTTTCTGTTTCTTTCTAAACTTTTCTTCTTCATACCTTGGTGAGGAAAAGTTTGATTTCAGTAAATGTAACACATGAAGGCCAAATTCAACAGAAGGTGCAAACTAGTATTAGTGTCAATGCAATTTGTAGAAACATACCAAGTTTTGAAACTGATACACTTAAGAAAAAATATATTGTACCTCCAACATTTATAAGCATTAAAGAAGAAGCATTAAGATTTAGTTACTATGACATAACATGTGAATTCAATACAACTTCTTGTTCAGTACTAACATCCATCATTAAAATTTTAAGTCTGTATTTGTGACAGTTTGAAGCCAGATATAATCCGCCACAGAAGTCCGAGAATTCATTCCATAAGCCATCCAAGTTCAGCCTTTGAAGAACAGTGCAAAGGTTCATCAATACAGAAAAGAGTCTTTCAAGACATGGAATGACAGTCTGAACATCCACAACACATTCTTCAAAAGCCCCAGTAAAAAAAAAAATAAATAAATATTACTCTGAAGGTAGCGCAAGGCTGCTTGAGCACTGTCCTGTCTTTCCTCCCCGCCCCAAGAAAACTGTTTTTTCTATTCTACATGCAGTTAAACTGTGCAGCTGATACAAGCTGAATGTTTACTGCAATAACCAGCCATGTGCAGGGGAGGGGGAGAGATTTGTGGGTTTGCCCAACACAGATGTGCCCTTCTGTCTACACAGGGAGACTATGCCATCTTTCCTTACAGAGTTCCCAGTCTGCGACCAGCTATTATTGTGATGCATACTCTACAGGTTTTTGTAAGTTATACCCTCCAATAGGCCGATGAATTTATCATCGGAATTGTTGGTATTTTGATCTGGCTTAAGATCCAAGTTTATGGTTTCTACTCTATTACTGCACCCACAAGTGCTATTGACAAAAGTATGCAAGCAGAGTTGTGCTGACATTGAAATGGATATTTATACCTGGAGGGAAGGAAGAGGAGAAAGCCAAGGACATTGATGCTGCCTTTACCTCTTCACTAAAGTAGTTTTAGAATAGTTATGGATAGGGATTCAGCATTTTTCCACCACAGCTCTTCTTGTAAATGAAACACCAACCCAAGTGATATTTCACCACTGGACTTGTTGCACATTTTAGCATAAAACCTGAAGATACTACAAATAATTTCAGTATCAACACGCCCAGAATTTCTCACTCACAAGCCAGTTTAGTCTACTAAGTGGTAGAACAACTGGAATGAGGCCTTGTCTCTAGAAGGTAAATTCACACACCATAACTTGGTAATTGTGTAAGGCACTACCTGTAAAAATCTCTATACATTAACATTTTGACTATCCGTGCTACCGCGTACCAAACAGTAGTTAGCAATGTCCTCAAACATGGATACTGCTCCTAGAGATAGCAATGATCTGAGTTAAGTTTTATTAAATGCAAAGTATTACATTCAAACCAATCATCGAATACAATATATACCAGTTCTAAAACATGATCGGTGTAGAACATGTTTGAATAGTAAAACATACTGTTTTATGCACTCTGGGATGACAACGTATTCCATGGGGATGAGTTCAGCTAGTTCTGCCAGGGTAAAGACATATCTAATTTTCTGGCTGAATTTTGAGCTGTGGAAAAGCAAACGCAGGGTACAGTTACAACTTAAAAATATTTCAATAGGTAAATATTAAAAGAATTTTTGAAGTTTAAAGTGAACAGTTAAGAATTAAAAAAAGAAATTGTTTCCAGAACATTACCTAATAAAAGGTTTTGTGATGGCCAGAAGTGTTCTGATGAACCAAGAAGGATGAACTATGATTAACGATTTCAGATTTTTCCTTAACCTGAAGGATTCAAACAGTGGATATAATTAGTAGAACAAAAAGGCAGCAGGACAACAAGGGGCTTTCTAATATATAAAAAGTATGTTTTCGCAAGCACAACTGTCACATAAATCTAATATTCTGAAATCCCGTAATTAGAAATTACCACCTGCCAGAAGATAAAAATACCACAACTGTATAGTCAAAAATTAAGATGTAGTATCAGTTCGACAACGGCAAGGAAATCACGTTCCACAGGGAAGTTTCTTTTAATCTTTTTACACAACTAATGAAGTGGTTCACAAAGGACCTCACCTTACTACCTCATCATATTAATACATGAAGTTTTAAGGATATTCTACATGGTAACAGTATTCACTATTCTAACACTACTATTTTCACAACAAAGAAAAAAAACAACAAAAACCAGGTATGTCTGTAGCACTATTCCACGTTGTCTAGCTTAAGAACATGTTTTCAATACACCAAACAATTTGCTTAATTAAACCTTACCCAGTAGGTACCAGACACCACACTAAACAGCAGTTTTTCCTAAAGTTGTGTATCACTGACCATGTGAATATTCTAAGAAAACACTACAGAGCTTCTTACCTTCTATCAATTTGCTGGTAACACTTCCTAAGCCAGCCTAAACTTGGCATTTTTCTCCGTGTTGTTGCACCATTCAGGTATACTATCATATAGTTCTCTGCTACTAACAGCTCTAAAGTGCCAATTACATACCTGCAGAGACAAGTACAGAAAACTTTAAAGTGAAGATCTGTGGATATTACAGTAATTCCTAGAAGTGCTCAAATATATTTAAAAAAAATACAGGGCTGGCAACGGCATTGAGCAGTGTCTACTTGTTTCTTCCCTTCCCCTGGAAGCAGATGTAGTTGCTTTTCCATCTGCTACCTTTCCCTCATCTGAAATAGTAAAAGCTTTATTAAAGAAAGAGGGAGAAATAGTTGCCCTTACATTAAAATGCTAAGTTTCACAATGTGAAATTAAGACTGTATTCGGAGGCAGATGACAACTTACTTAAATAGATTGTCCATTAGGTATCTGTAGTTAGGCTGGCTGCTTTCGGGCATAAAGCAAACGGCAAACACAACAATGGCATTTAACCCATCACCATAATAACCTAAAAACAAAGAAAAAAGCAGCAGTTGTGACAAAGGTGACTATACACTGACTACATTTACACAACATTAAGCACATTCAGTAAGCCTTCTCATTATCTACCTTAAAGAGATTTACAAACATCTATTCTATATGGACAGATTCTTACACTTACAGAAAACCTCAAGATTTCTTTTTCAAGTCTGTCTACTTCTAAAGAAGTAGCTGAAGTTGACATAAATCAAATGCTGTACCTACGATCAACATCTCAGTATAGAACCTCAGTATATTTAAGAACATTTTATACAGTCACCTTTTCCTCCAACCTAAACTCCACAGACTTTTCGGAAAAGTCATTAAATTGATTCACGCCTTCGTAGATCTACAGCTAATGCTTTCAACACACACTATTAAAACAAAAAAATTATACTGGTAGCACTGACACTGTAGAACAGGTAAGTACCATCATCTTACATATGTGCATGTCAGTAGCTTCATCTGAACATGTGTACGTTTTGGATGTTTTAATAGGGAAAAAAATTAAATTAACCATATGCCAACCATACTGCAACAAATGAATCACCATGTGAGTACTGATGCCAAAGCTCTTCCTGTGCCACCCCAACTCTGCTTAAAAGCTTCTCAGCTTTTCAACTGCTCCTCAGCACATCACTAATCCTTACCACCATGACTGATAACTTTTTTATATGGTTCAATTGCCTTCATGTCCACCCTGTGGTCCTGTTCTCCAATCCTGAACATTCGCCAGCGTCGACCATCATCTTTCTCCTCTGCCACAGTGTACTCAGTAAGTGATCCTTTCCTAATTACATCAGTAGTTTTTGGTTTCGGAAGATCATCTGCCAAAGTTAAAACATGTTCAAGAACCATTATGAATATTAGGTATAGTGACAATCAATTACAACACAGGTTAACCACTTTGCTATTTTCATGTACGCTAGCCAGTCAGACATATCAGCTTAGTTCCTTCAGTCATTACAAAACAGAATCTCATGGGTGTCATATATATTTTATCACAATATATATGTTGGCAGTTATCCATTGACTGCAGTTTTCTAGGTTAAAATACACAACAAATTTCCAATCATGTAGGAAGCCTACTTCATTATAGACTTTCAGAACACAGACTTCGACGAATGTCACCAAAATAGACAAAGTGGTTAACTCCAATGACAATTACACAGGTTGCTTGATCACAGATTTACATAAAAGCATGATTTAAAACATTGACAGTACCTTGCAAGCAGACATGCAGGCAAATCTATTAAGAAATAAAATCTAATTCACGTGTGCAATCGATATATATGAAACTTATGCTGACACCAATCTGCAAAGCAATTTTCTCCAATTAAATTATGATTCTTGACTTTATTGCATAGACCTTACCCAGAGCGAGAAAAACCTACTGCAAGTTAGTTGTCTGTTCCCAAGACAAAGCTGTTAACTGAAACTATCCTTCCAGGAAAATGAAGGCAGCAGCATTAAAGGAAGAAAAGACAGAAACCCTTTTCAGCCACTTTTAAAAACAAGGCACAAACATTTGGAACATTTCCTGCATATAATTGCAAAACTAATCCTAAATACCAATTGTTCTTCACCAAAATGTTGAAAATCCTTTCACATAGGTAAACCCACAGTCTGTTCTGAAAACTTCACCTGCAATATGTTTTTAGGTATTTTAAGAAAACCTCCTATTCTAAAGGGTGTTTCTTTCTCCATTTACAAGCCATCTTGGAATGAAGAACAGGTCGTGTTTCATACTTAACAGTGAAAAGAGAGCTTCCTATTTACTCAGGAATTAAAATAATATTATTTCCAAACTAAAAAAATAATTGCATTTACGTGTTTACGTAGAGACATTCTTAAGTCATGAAGTTTACAGAAGTTAAAGACTCCAACTGTTTGACCAACACAACAGTTCTTGGCTTACACAAAAGGGCCTTAAAACATAATTAAACTTTAAGTTTAAAATTTCTACTTTAACCCCTACACAGAACTTCTTAACCTCAAATAAAATTTGTTATAATCTCCAGTTTTGCCTTTAAGATGAAATGTCTATTTATTTCTCTAAAATTAAGATCATTACTACTGTGGCTATAGCTAACTTAACTTCCTTTCAAGTAATTTCAGAATTCCCTGACACAAAACAGAGGCTCTTCTACCACTTCCAGTCAATCCAGAAAGCACACAAACTCTAAGGCTACTGACCTTCTGCCATTTCTCACCACACTAAGATATGAGATCAGGTGTTACTCAATATTTTCAAAAACACCACTCAGCCCTCCTTAAACACAAAGACTTGCAATTCATCAATTTGTCACTAGCTAATCTATTCTCCACTTCAAAGGTTCACCTCCATTTAAAGTTGATCTATAACACATGTAAAATATCTTTCATTTTTTTTTCCCCCAGGTTGGTTCTTTAAAACATATTGCAATGGAGAGGATTTTCCATAACTTCAAGTCTTACAGGTGCTTAATGACATTCACCTCAGTCACCTCAGAATTTGGTATTACAGCTACTGTTATGTTGCCTGTTTACTAATCAGTTGAGGTCCAGTGTGCTCTTGAAAAATTCATTGTGCCTATTTCCAATTTCTAATCTAATCTAATCACTCCCTTTTATTTTTCCTCTTGTAGTATTGAGTCATCATTCCCACCTGAAAAACTGTTGGCCTGCACATACGAAAATGTAAATATTGTAGGGCATCAGACAAAAGTAACAAAATACTTACCTTCCCATTCAAACTCATCGCTATTTTCTGAAGGAGTATCTAAATTGTCCAAATCAATCTCTCCACTTTCATCCAAGTCATCAGACAAAACAGATTCCTCGCTGTGATCCAAAGTTAAGCTGATATCTGGAGCCATCAGTTTCCTCCTCACTTTGGTTCCATTAACCTCTACATTTTAAAAAGCAAGTTATTTATTTTCAAAGATAAAACAAGTTTAGACAAGCATATTAACAAGGCAGAAGAGCACAGTGCTTTCTCAGAATGCATTCTAAGTTCATGCCCATAGTTTAAACGATGTACCTTTGGAATAAGAATTAAACACAAGGTGATAAGAACAGCACTGGGAGGTCAAAGTTCTCAAGTCCTCAAGGCCGTTAAGTTTAACCAATTGCATCCACACTATGATCACAGTGGTAGACCACCATACTCCCTGCAGAAGAAAAACCTAAAGTGCTGCCACCACCTAAGCAACTATCACCCATGCTAGCTATATCAAAGCGTACCATGAGTTGTTACAGATATTAGACTAAATAAGCCTTGAAAATAATGCAACAGATACATGTCCTGAGCCTTTCTTTTTGTTAGGTATTGGTATCATGACCACCTTTGATGAAATAAAAAATAATATACAAGCTCCAAAAAAAGGAGGCTGACAAACAACTGTGAGGACAGAAAACTAAAGAAATTACTACATGAATATACAGCATGCTTTGAGACACAAGGCAAATACTTGCATGATTTTGTGAGCAATTGAAAGCAGGGAATTAAATAAAATTACTGATCCAGCTCTGGAAAAGCCACAACTAAATCAGACAGACAAGATCAAAAAAATTTTAAAAAGCAAAAAACCCACCCGTCTATTATTCCCCCTCTGACCATTTGGACAGGCAACATTCTTAAAAGGCCACAAAGGTCTAAAATTTGGAGCAAAATTAAGACAGGCCCTAACTGATACATAGAAGCCTAAAAACAAACCAAGATTTTAAGACAGGTGAGCGCAATAATTCATTTATGTCCATTATTACCTGGATAACTCTGTTCACATGGAAGATGAAGAGTCTCATATTTTATTCCAAAACCCTCTTCTCTCTAGACAAGATGTTTATAATTTCCTTCATACAGAAATGTCACTTAGAATGCTGTTTCCTCCAGCCTGACTCAAAAATATAACCCAATCCCCAAAAAACACCCTGAAACAAAACAGAGCTTCAAAACAGCCATCTAAGCAGGAAGCAGTCAGCTTGACTGGAGTTGAAAGCTCTTACCTGCTTCACTTTCTGTTCCAGCTGCAGCCAATACCTCTGCCTCAACAGGATCATCCTCTGGCAGGGGCCTGGTGCACAGAGTAGAAACTATTGTTAGAACTTTTTTTTGTTTTTTTAAATAACCAGCTAAATGGCAAATATTTAGACTTACACACTGCTAAAAAACCACTATGGGATAGTACTGAACTAAATTTACTCATAGTCTAAGTCCAAGCTTTCAGTAAACAAAGCACCACAGTAGCAGAAAATTCCTTTACAGTAATCAAGTGACCATCTGTTGTTGTGACAAATGCGAAAATACTGATTACTATTAGTGTGTGTCATCCTTAAGAAAACCTGTCATACTCTTGCTTAAGAAAATATGACATTAAATACATTACAGAAGTAGTTTAGTCTTGTTATTACAGAATGCCTCTAACAACAGCTGTTTTAGTTTCTTTGCAGGCCCAAGCATCACTAGCAGTCTTAACTGTTAAAAATTTTGCTCAGAAATGTTGCTTAATGAAATATTTGGGCTTTCAGACACTGATAATAATATGCAAACAATGTAGTTGCAAAAGATTACCACAGAAAACAAAGCCAAACTCACAAATTTTCACTTTAGTTAACACTAGAAACTTCAACAGCAGCATTACTGTATTAACCGACACATGAACATGAGGCGATCCTCAATAAAGAAACATGCTACAAAACCTTTTCAAGACTACTATACTACTGGAAACCACTTCAAGATTATTTTTGAGTGTTAGTTCACCAAGAACATAAAGATGTATCTTATTCTGGATGTTATGCATTTGATTTGAATGACATTAAAAAAAATTAACAACCTTGGAAAATCTTCATCTTGCCATTCTTCCTTAAACTCAACACCTTCCATTCTCCAGCCAACTTGAAATGCTAATAAAGACTCCTGATTAGCCAGAACTTCTTGTCTTCAGGACAGTGGGCTAAAGAGGAGCTGCAGGAACAGTAGATACTAGTTCAATGCTATTGTAACTCCCATACTTGCAACACATCCTTTCACTCATCACCAAGTTGCGGTATTATGAGGGGGAGGAAGGGAAGGGGAGCACACACCAAAACCCAACATCCAGGGAGAAGTTTATAGTTTGTTTCAATTTTTTATTTCTCCATACAAAACTGCTTATGGAATGGTTTATCATACAGTAGCTCAGGCTGAAGGGATCTCATGTAGTCCAATACCCTGCTCAAGCAGGATCAACCTCTCTGTTAAAATCAAGGCCCTGAACAACCTGATCTATCCTTTTAAAATTACACCATTTCACTTTAAACTGCAAGAAACCTGACAGCTCTCTAGACGCTATCGGAGATATTCAGTAAGTGTGTAATTTGAAAAAAAAAAAAAAAAAAAAAAAGATGATGAGATCTGAAATACAATCCAGTTATTAAAAAAAACCCCACACACTTTAAAGACAACTGTTTCAGAAAGTGTTTTCAGAGAACTCACCCTATGATGTGCAAGTCAAGCTGTGTTTTTTCAGGCTCACCCATCACCAGTAGCAAGACATCCCAACTAATGGAACATAATAAACCATTCTGCTGACATACAAGTCCAAGCCAGTTGAAGCTTTTGGCTGCGTTGGCTCTGAGGATTGGCAGGGACAGGTAAACTTATCAATGAAGTTATTATGAAAAATCAACACTAATCAAAACAGGAAACTGAAAGACATTTTTAAACGTAAAGAAGCAACCAGCATAGAACACGAGTAAGTATAAAGTTTGAATGCAATCATACTGCCAATTAGGCTGGAGACAATTTATTTTTTATGCCACTAAAATGACACAAGTAACCCTTACTGCTCTGTAGGATCACCTTTCACAACTAGTCTCAATTTCTCCTGACCTGATTACAATCACAGATTGATTTTAAAACATCCTGCAATGCTTAAAGCTACACTACACAAGCTGATGAATAAAAAAAAAAATATTTAAAAGACTGATTCTTTTGTAAAACTGCAGTACCAGAGACAAGTTAAACATTAATGACTAAAATTTACGCTTATTTTACTGACATTTCGCTGCTTCCCTCACTCAGGAAACTGAAATAAGATTTCTAGAAGATAGCAACCTACTTCCTCTTACAAGTCAGACTCTCCTTGTTTGCATCATTCAGCCCCTGCACTGCCCAGCTGCTGGCAGTATGCACCTGTGCACACTATCTCCAAGAAGTTGCCCCCAGCAATTGTCCTCCCAGCTTTCCCTCTTTCTATTTGTCTTTTTTTGACTAATATACTGTTTGGAGTAGTTTCCAGGCTTGGGGTGGACCTGCTGGAGAGCAGCTCTGCGGAGAGGGACCTGGGTGTCCTGGTGGACGACAGGTTAACCATGAGCCAGCAGTGTGCCCTGGCTGCCAAGAAAGCCAATGGGATCCTGGGGTGCATCAAGAAGAGTGTGGCCAGCAGGACAAGGGAGGTTCTCCTTCCCCTCTACACTGCCCTGGTGAGGCCTCATCTAGAGTACTGTGTCCAGTTCTGGGCTCCCCAGTTCAAGAAGGATGAAGAGCTACTGGAGAGAGTCCAGCGGAGGGCTACAAGGATGGTGAGGGGACTGGAGCATCTCCACTACGAGGAGAGGTTGAGGGAACTGGGCTTGTTCAGCCTGAAGAAGAGAAGGCTGCGAGGGGACCTTATAAATGCCTACAAATATCTGAAGGGTGGGTGTCAGGAGGATGAGGCCAAGCTCTTTTCAGTGGTGCCCAGTGACAGGACAAGGGGCAATGGGCACAAACTGAAGCACAGGAAGTTCCGTCTGAACATGAGGAGGAACTTCTTCCCTCTGAGGGTGACGGAGCACTGGAACAGGCTGCCCAGGGAGGTTGTGGAGTCTCCTTCTCTGGAGATATTCAAGACCCGCCTGGACAAGATCCTGTGCAGCCTACTGTAGGTGACCCTGCTTCGGCAGGAGGGTTGGACTAGATGACCCACAGAGGGCCCTTCCAACCCCTACTATTCTGTGATTCTGTGATTCTGTGATTCTTGCTGCTTGAATCATATGGCTTTCCTCATTAAATATGCTCTCTCTTTCATTACGATGCTTACATTCTCAGCATACAGTTTCTCCTGGGTACTAACCTGCTGAGTATTTGCAACAATTGGTTTTAAATATTTGCTTGGAGATAAGATCATATTTTGATCAGTATTAACAGTGAATATGTGCATAGTTCTTTAAGCATTTGTCTCAGGACACTGAGATGAAGCACGAAAAGTTTCACAAGGTACCCTACGCAGTCAAGAGAATACAGTGGTTACAATCAGTATGGAAGGAATCACCTGATGCAAATACACAGTTTACTGTAAACAAACAAACACTAAACCTAAAAGAAAATCTAAATTGACGACTTTCTGATGTCTGAAATTTATGGGTATAAGCTCAACTAACTTGCACACTTTGCTAATCATAGAAGAACTTACAGGCCTCGTTAATCACTTATCCTCAAAGAAGGAACCCAAAACAAGCAGCTTCAAAGACTGGTAAAGGAAACATCCTGTTACAAGGAGAACTGTCCGACTGGAAGATTGCTACTCCAATGAAGTCAGCAAAATTCACAGTAACTGGGTCAAAGTCAAGGACAGCAGGGGGAGATAGCGAGCACCGACTCAATTCAGGACCAAAAGGGTCACAACCCCCTCCTCCCTCCCTTGAGCCTGTGCAGTACATTAAAATTGAACTACAACTTTAAATTGAAGCAGAAGATATACAGACCAATAGGAAACTGCCATGCATAACTAAGCATCTTTTAGGTGGAGTTTAGAAGATGCCTAACTAAACTGTATAAATACTGTACTTGCTCGACAGAATTTTGAGCTAGCTTTGTGGAATACCACCTTGCCCCCACTTTGCGCAAACTTGTAGTAAAAGAAATACCTCAACCCTGTGTGTATCAGCTTGCATACCAGGTAAAGACCCCACTTTTGGATAACATTTATGCTTAAGGGACAGATGAAGAAATGAACAAAATTGACAGTAAAAAAAACCCCACCCCACCACCACAAACCAACCCTATCGCTGTGCTGGTGGATACAAGATCTCGCCTGCCCTGCCCTTACAATACAATTCAAAGCAGGATTTTGCTCCAAGACTTGAACAGTTCTCTCACCACACTTTTGAAGAACACCAAACACCAAGTAACATCTATTAATTTCAAAAGTACAGCATTTTCATGGAAAAGCAATTCTGACCTGCATGTATTTCACAACATTGTGATAAACTTGACACAGTAAGACAGACAGAGTTTAAAAGTTACTCATGCTGTAATCGAAGCTGAAGACACTTTTACAAAACACTTGTCACCTTACTTACAAAATTCTCACCAGGAACTTCTCACGAAGGTAGATTTGAAAGCGCTCACTCACTAAATACTACATAGTACAACTGAAAACAACTTACAAGGCAAGTTACAAGTTCAACATCGGATATTCTTGAATTTAGGTTTTCAGCAGCCTACTTAACATGCAGACTAAGTAGTTGGTTTGAATGTTTCGACTTGAAGTCTCACATATAAAAGCACTATCATTTGTCAACTAGAAGAATGAGAAATTAAGGAGTAAGGGTAATCTTCCTGGGAAAGTTAGAAAAGAGCTGACTTTGAAGTTAACTACTGAATAATTTTACATCACTAATATAAATGCTTACAAAACAGGGGAGAAAAATCTGCTATTTCTGCTTATACAAACTAAAGCAGAGCTTATGATAGTCTTCCTGCAGCTGCTGTGGTAGTGCTGACATCTTCTGGTTTTACTACACCCAAGCCTCTTTTTAGTTCAGCTGTAAATCAAAGATCTAAAAGCTTAACTAGAAAAATGTATTATGTTGTAATGACGCAAGTATTTATTAGTCACATAGCAGTAACGCAATTCATTTCTACCTGATCCTAGCACTCTTCGTGGCCAACTTAAAGTTGTGGCTTCTGGAAATAGCAATCCTGGTCATTTTTACTCTCCATTGCTCATTACTTCCCATTTTACTTAAAGAAATGGAATTGGAAGATTGGGAGCTATCTAAAGGTCAGATATTCTTTGATGTCTTGAAGTTTCTGGATGCAGGATGGCCATGCAGTCCTGCCTTCTTATTGGAACCACTTGACTTTGGTGCTCAAACTATGCCTCTTATACTTTTGAGTATCTCAACAGGCAAGTTACGGTATCACAAAGAGAAAAAACATATCACAAGCCAACACATCACTAAAACCCACCACTCTTCCCTACATCTAATCAATGGATTTCTATTTCCAAAACAGCAGCTTTAACCTACTTAAGTTTGCATCTGAAGATTATTACTGCCTGCATCAGGAGTCAAACATCAGTGTTCTCACCTTTTTCCTGGAAGAAGATACAATTTTCAGAGTTCTCTCTTTAACACCAAGCTGGCTTAGTTGGCAGGTGCTGGAATACCAAACACAACAGTGTTAAGCAGCCTATTGTAAGTTGCCATTTAAAAAAAAATTAGTTTACAGCTAAACAGAGACTATAATCTGTCCCACATACTTAAAAAAAGACAACCGAATGCATGAGATCATTTTACTCATGATGTTAAAGACCTCCTGCAAAAATTATTTTTTAGGTTTTCATCCTTGAGTTCTCAGAGAAATATACAAATAAATAGGAGTTATGCATTTATACAGTCATGTCTACCAGTCCAATACAAAAGACCTATCATCAGTCCTTGATCATCACCTCAGCATCTGAAGCAGAATAAACACAAAGTTTATTTTGCAAGACAATTGCAATGATGAGCACACTACTGAACTACGCACCTGATCGCCAAAGAACAGCACGTTGTTTCAGTCTCAGAAAGTTGAAGTAAACTTCACAAAAAAGGTTAGCCTACTTTTTTCTAGATTTCACCTTCAACATTTCT